ATGGCGCCTTCTTCTGCTCACAAAACAAAATGCGCGGGCCTTTCGGCAGCCCATTTAAATAAGCCACCGTGTCCATCCCGAGTGCTCCGGCCAGAGCCTCGCAGTCGAGCATGTCCTACGCGTACCTCTTCAAGTGCGCGGGGGAAAACGGAAGCCGAGGGTGAAGGAGTGGCCTGAAAGCTTCGGGCATTTCAGAGACGACTTTGGTTTGAGGCGACCGGCCTTCCATACAACCGCGTTTACCTTGTTTTTACTTGTTTGTTCCGACAGGCGGTTGGAAACAAGTCGAATATGGTCTTAATGTGTGTGTGTGTGTGGGTGTGTGTGTGTGTGTGTGAGTGTTTGTTTTGGGCACGTGTTCAGCGGTGACAGGCGGTGCCGCGATGATCAAGTGTTTAAACAGGTGTCTCACAAAGAGGGCTCATTATGAACCAGGCAACCCATTAGTTGGTGGTTGGGGGATGTGCACCTCTGGCTTTTGTAGAGGGTAATTAATTGGGAAACCTGTGCGGGTCGCGGGCAGCTGACCGTTTGACCTTTTGACCGGCACATGAAGAGACAGCAACTCGATGGTTTGAGCATGGGTTCAAAGGCACACCCCTGGTTGCCATAGAGTGGAAGCGCTTAGCATCCCTTGCTTTTGCTATCATCCATCGTTTCCAGACTGAAACTGGACGGCATGGCACCTTTGTAAGCGTTGGCTCCAAAGCGAAATCCGCCCGACGGACTCCAATCAAACGCCAGGTACATCATCATCGGTGACACCGGCGTTGGGAAGTCTTGCCTGTTGCTGCAGTTTACGGACCCGTCTGACAACGCCACGATGCGGTCGAGTGATTCTCGCTGGTGTTGGCACAAATTCGCCAGGCGAAGGGGCTGTTCAAAGGTGATCCTTAATCCTTACCTTGGGTTCCGCAAGGGGTCCCTCTGTAGTGGCTTCCCTATTGAGGTTGTGGATGAAGATTGGCCAACCCTCCATTTTGAATAGCCTAGGTTTTCAGATACCTAACTTTAATTTGGAGCCCAGCAAGCAGAAAATGAACATCGGGTGGGGTTGGACAAACAAGTTCCCCTTGCAGGACAACACGAGTCAGCTTGATCAAAACTGACACACACACACACACACGTCCAATTTGCACGCTTGAAGCTGATGTTTCACATAGGCATCCCTTTTGGGGGAGAAAGCCTGAATCCTTTTGTGATGGGCGAGTTTCCAATGTAGCTGTTGCATGTTCGATCACGATTGGGCCGGTGCTTCGCCATGGCAATGTCAGCGACCCACTTGTGCCACAGCTTTTCCACACCTCACTAGAACTCAAAAAACGGGTTGCCGGTTTCTACCTGACTTCTTCCCGGGTGGGCCGAGGGAAAACGAGAAGGCATGGATTCGCAGGACAAGCGCTTCCGAACGGATCACGACCTCACCATCGGGGTGGAGTTCGGCCTGAGCCTTGTGTCGGAGTCGGACAGATGCGGTCCCAAAACAGACTTTTGCCCCGAGGGTTCCCTGGCTCTGGATTTCTCTCTTCCGCAGCTCATGAACTTTAGCCACTCTTTGGGGTTTGGGAAGACCATTTTAGCGGAACAAGCAAAGTGCATCAGGACGTGAGGGATGATTTGTCCTACAACTCAAAACAATATCCGGACAGAACAGCACCATGAATCTGCATGGCCACCAAATTATGAGAAGTGTTTCTCTCTCTTTCTCTCTTTTTCTCTCGCTGCTCTCTTGCATGGAGGGAACGACAAACAATGTATGGAAGATCATGCCATGCGGCAAAAGCAACGAGGGGTTCAATGAACATGAAACATAGACGTCCCTTTAGGTGAGCTTTAGATCAGAATAGATGGCTCCCTGTGGCTTTAGTTTAGCAATCATTGGCCGTTGCCATGCAGCTGATTTTCATGGGGAACACCCTCCCAAATGATTGGACATAAAGCCCCACCAAGAGGATGTCCAAGGTAAGGCCTCATCCATGTGTCTTTATCAGCCTGGGCATTCCAAGCGGGAACGATTTTCTTGTAGGCTTGCCTTAGGTGACAACACAAACGGCGGCAAGTTTGCATAACGCCCGCACAAAGCCCGCAACAAAAAAAATACAACAGCTCACATCCTCGCAAAATACGTGAATCGCAAGAAAACGCTTCAAATCTTCAATCGCCCTGGAGAAAGCAACCGAAGGAATGTCCAGGAGCAGGCAACAGGTGCAAAAATCAGCTGCCCGCTGCGAAGCACTGCCCTTGGTGTACAACGTTTGAGCTGGCAATGGTTCAGATAGGCCTGGTGCCAACAAGGCTACTTGAGGCGAAAGACCGAGCATTTACAAGCCAGCGCACGCCTCATGTGCCAGGTTTCGATTTGGAACCAAGTAGCTAACCCTTCGCCTTCTTCCTATGGCTGTTTAAAGGGTAGTTCGCTTGGTAGGGAAACTCACTTCCTGAGTTCATGGACTTTAAACTATTTGGCTTTGGACCAGTCCACTTAGGAAGTGAGGAGATGGAATCAATGGGTATATAGAAAGATATCCGCTCAGTTCGGGTCAAAGGGTCAAAAGGTAAACTCCACGGAGTTTGCTTGGCGGACTAAAGCCGCACAGAGAAAGTGCAGTCTGGTGAATGTCGCTTTGGGGTTACAGCGTTGAGCCGTCCAGGCGCAGTCGACATTCCTATCGTTGTCCCAGGTGCAAGGCTCATAAACATCGACAACAAGCAGATCAAGCCATAGCCTCGGCGAGTGGGTAATTGATCTTCCAGGTACCGGTCTGCTGCCTTCTGTTCGTGGGAAGGGATAGAGAAAAAACTGCAACCGCTTGGCCCATGCGGGTTTGCCTTGGAGTTCATACGGAAAATGTGGTTTTGCTGGTTTTATGCGGGTTTGGTACGTTTTTTGTACGGGTTTCAGGAAGCAAAACTAGGTTCTTCAACCGAAAACCGGTGCAAAACCTGGTTTTGGCTGCTTACCCCACTTTTCTGTAGGTTCTTCGAGTACCGGGTATGGAGGGAACCATGACTTTCCGGCCGAACAAGCAGAGTTTTGTTCCTATTGAGGGAACCATCACCATAGGGCATATAGGGATGTGGCGAATCTGTGGATCCATTCCTGTATAATTATATTAAAAGAGTACTCCCTTCCACCAACTAGCATGGAAGTGCACAGACCCCTGTAGAAAGACTACTTAAGGGGCTTTGTGCACTTCCATGCTAGTCAGGAGGGTAAAACGGATTACTAAAAAGGGACCAGATCCGGTTTGCTAGATGGACCATGGCGCACATTTGGATGGGGCCAGGGGCTCCAGGACGCGGGTCAACTGAGATCTGAGGCTTCAGATTTGGGACACCGCGGGCCAGGAGTCCTTCCGATCCATCACGAGGCTCGCTATGGCCATCGCTTCGTTGAAGAGCTCTGCTCACTTGGACCGGATCTGGGCTATGGCTTATGGGCAAAAGGCCTATGTTTAGTTGAGGCTCCAAAAGCGAGATTAAAGAGAAACCAATCGGACGAGCATTTTGTGGGTCTCATTTGAGAAGCACATCAAAAGCTGAGGAGCGACCTGGCTGGCCTTATGACTTGGCGGTTCGGAACCAGCCGTCCGGTTCTGAAGGTTTGTAGGTTTTCGGGGCTTAGCGGTTGGGTTTCCACGGAACAAACTTGACATTATTCATTGTTAGCAGGGGATCAGTTTGAACAGCAAAGATGACCAGCTGCTTTTGCAGCGGGTCTTGGATGCGACATCATTGCCCCTTTCTCTAATTATGTACCCCAGACGTGAGCGCAAGATAGGTGAACAGGGCTGTGCAATAACTGGTGTTTGGGCCTTTTGATCTTTTGAAAAACCCTTTGCCCTTACACGCCCTTACTGTTCCTTCTGGCCCCCGGCCTCCACTCCCAATGGCCCAAAATTGTCTTTGGGGAGTGATACCACGCGAATTCTCCCTGGGGGAACGGCTATTGTACCAAAAGGCTTGGCTCAGCTGCTCGGATATTCCAATCCCTCCTTCAGTGTTCCTTGTCCTCAGACCATATCGGTGGATGCCCTATGGAAGTAAGGCGACACGGAACCCCACCAATTTACCGTGACTTGACAAGTCGTGGGGCCATCCCTGGACAAGCCAAGGAGAAGCCCCAGTGCCCCGCTTAGGAGTCCATGAGTATTCTGGGTTACTTGCAACATGCGTTTGGCATCGCATCCACTGAGCCATCGAGTTATGTCCATCCAGCCATCGCATAGAGACTCGGCGCCCCCACAGGATTGGATAAATCCTTGGATAAATAAATAAGGAAATAAACACAAACAGGAAGCAAAAGGCACTTCAAAAGGTACCTGAGACAGAGACAAATTGCTGGGCCGTTTTCCAGCAAGAAGGCAGAGGGCACTTTACAGGTACCTGACATTGGGAAGCGGCCTGTTATTTGGGCTGCCACCCCTCCGGCAGCTCACGTGGCCAGATCTTACTACCGCGGGGCCAGCGGCGCACTCCTGGTCTACGACATCTCACGCCGCGACACCTTCAACCACCTCACGCGCTGGCCGGGGCCTGGTTTGCGGCTGCTTTTTGCGGCTTTGAGCAGCTTGAAGAGGGAATGTTCGAGGGCAGACCCCGAGAGGGCGATAGCTTCTTGATTCTGAGAAGAGCAATCGTTAAGGCTGAAGGATGGAAGATCTTCTTTGGATGCTGAGTAGTTTCCTGTGCAGGTTGAATGACTCGCCTGTGGATGTGTAGCGCTTCTTGAGCTCATCTAGTGCACGGCCAATGATATTCCCAATATCCTCTGAAGGCGTTTGCCGTTCCCTAGATACAAAAAGCACACCAAACAGAAATTCCGCTAAACCAGCTCATCTATCACATGTTTGTTCGTCATGTTTCGGTCCTGGTTCTCTTCTTTTGCCACCGCAGTCCATGTTCACCGCCCAACAACCGACACCCCCGGTCTTCAACACGTACCTCCGCGGCTTTCAGCGGCTCAGTCCCTCGAAGCCGCGCGGGCTTTCGCGCGGGCCATGTCGTTGGAGGATGCCAAGGTGAGCCGAATCCGCGCGCCGCGGAAGGACCTGCCGCAGTCACTCTGGAGGACGGATCCGCCCAAAGTCGGGATTGATGCGGAGAGAGGGGGTCGAAATGAATTCGGAAAGAGGAGGACCACATGGTGTTCCTAAAAATGGGCCAAGAAAATGGGCCAAGAAGAAGACGGCCTACAAAATGGCGCAACTTGGTGGGGGACCGTCTTGTTGGTTCAGATAAAGAGAGAAGGCAAAGGCAAAACTGATAAATGTTCCTAAGATTTCTTGCGCGCTAACCCCGTGGTTCTAGAGGGAGTGGTTTGGGGGTGGTCAAACTTCTCAAATTGGTGCAGGCTCTATATAGTTCCTAGAGATCTGTTTCGGACCATGCCAGGGTTTAGATTGGATCTGATGTACACATATACACCCGACTTTAGGCTTCCACATTTGTTTCCACGCCCAATTCCCAAGGATTCAGTCGAAAAAAGAAGCGCCCAACTTCAGGCGGGGTCGAGCTTCAGCTTTGATTTCAGGTTTTATGTACTTTGTGCGATTTTCAGCCAAGGGTTTTTTCCGACACCTGCCCCCCTATTCACCTATTACCAGGGGAAACAGGGGTACACAACCACGATATACATCGCGAATTGCCAATGACCTGTAACTTTAGATTGGAAGTATCAACTGTACTGATACTCTCTTGTACGGAGAGCCAAGTATATACCATTGTTTGGTTTGTCTTGCTTAAACAGTCAGCTGCTGGTGCTCTTTCAAGGCAAGCAAAGGATCTTGTACTTGCCAAATCCAGCCAAGTGCCCAGTAGCGCGTGCGTGTCTTTGGTTTCCTATCTTCTCACAAACTCCTCGGGTTCCTCTTCCTGATGACCGAATCTGCTGTTGAAACACGCGAAGCAAGTCCCTGCGCTGCTGCCTGCTTGACTTTTTTACGCGCGTTACGGGGCCACTCCAACTACTTAGAGCACACTTAGCTACTCGTATCCCTAAAAACATTGTAAACCTATGCAGAGGAAGAGCAGATCAACGATGCTGACTGATACTAGGGCATACTGATATCTCAGGTGGCCAAAACAAACAAACATTTGTTGGTTGGTAGCTTGGGACCCCCCACCCTGCCCACCCCCCAGCCCCCCACCCCTCCCAGCCCCCACCCCTCCCCTCGTGGCGTCTCTCGACGCGCTCGCTCTCGCAGGAGCCCTCAGAAGCGGCTCTTCTTGGCGCCGGCCATCGAGCGCACCCTGCGGTCCCGCCAGGCCCTGCAGCCGCTGGCGGCGCGGTCCGTGCCCAGCCTGAGGCGCAACTGACGCCGATGCCGAGCTCGACTCGCTGGGTGGATCGGTGGGCAAGGGAGGGCGGTGGGAGGGGGGGAGGGGGGGGGTTTAGGGTTTAGGGGTGGGAGGGGAGGGGAAGGGAGGGAGGTGAATTTGGGGCGAAGCCAAAGGGTATTTTTCTTGTGGAGTATGCACTCCAATTGGCGTGATGTTGGTGCAATTTTGATCCACCTGGGTGATTTCGTTTTTTTGGCCTGGTTAGGTGGTTTGCTAATGGGTTTGATGGTTTCAGAGCGTGACCTTTGGGGCTGGTCGGGCGATTCCCCTCAAAACCCCCGGAACTAAATGTGTCCCAAACTCACCCGCCAATCCCAAGTATCACAATTTCCCAACTCACCCAACCAATCACAAAATGAGCGCCCCTAGATGCTTTCTTCAAAGGCTGATTGTATAGGTCCATATAAATATGAACCCATAGCCATTTGGAACTGTCTCGGGGCCGATTTCCAAAAGCAAGCCATAACAAACGGTTTGTTTAACCCATAAACTAGGGGTTCATACCAGACAGCCGAAAAGCAAGGTGGGAAAAGGACACGGCCAGAAAAAGCGCCTTTCGGGCTCCAGGGAGGCTCATGCATGCACATATACATTCAGCCTTTGCTTTTTGGTTGCAGGCTGAAAACTCCAGAGCCGCCGGCTGACCTCTACATCGACACCCTCACCAAGCCCAACGTGGAGTGCTGGAACCAGGCGGGGGCAACGCAGTGGACGGGCTCTCCAAAATACGTTGACTCTGGGAGATCTTTGGAACTCCTGCTTGTCGGAAGGCTGCCTGCCTGCAAACGGTGTTTCATATGTTAGAGGAGGTGTTTTTGATGAAAAGAGAGTCAGAAAAGCGACAATTTCTGTGTTCAGATTTCCGGACCCCCTTAAAGGGGAGCGGGGGTGTCTGTTTTTGAGGGTGCGCCTGTTTGGTTGGCTTTAAAGGAACCCCAAAAGGAAATTTGACGGGTCTCCTAAAGAGAGGCACCCCTAAGTGTCGCAAAACAGAGTCCAAAAAGCCGCGGTCCTGATTTGTTTTTTGAGCCATCCAAAAGAGCACCCAGTTTGTTTTAACCACCATTAAAACAATGGGGGTTCGTGTATAACGAGCATGGCTTGCCCAAGCATTTCTATCCGGGAACCCTAGAGGCACCAAACTGGTGGCGAAACCCAATGCCAGGAGCCTTGGCTGAACATCCTCACGGAAAAGAACCGGGTGGATATTCCGTTCAACGAGATCCGTGAGACCAGCCACGGCGAGGAATACATCCAGTGGTGCGTTGGCCAGACCTTTCGCAGACTTTGCCAACTTTTATGCGTTCGTGTGGATGTATAGTACTGTCCCCGACAGTTGTTTGGCGACCTTTTAGGTGCCTAGTCGTTTCCCCATCTAGTACAAAGACAGCTGCCTGCCAAACTCAAATCAGCTTTAGGTTCCTTCCCAAACAACATGGTAGCAAAGAGACATTCCTCTCCAAAGTGTCTCTAGTTCCTTCCACGGTGCCTTTGTCGTTCCGGGTTCCAGCGTCAAACCGGGAAAGTACCGAATCAACTTCTAGGGACCTTCTGGCCGTTTTTCAAGAGTTGCTCAGGTAAGCCTTTGGTTTGTATTTCGATCTGAAGCTGTGGTTCTTGTAGAGGCGCATGGGAAACCAAGCTGCACACCTCCAAACCTGTGAGGGAAGCTGAGTTCTCCCTCAGCGCCGTTTTTCCTCAGGGCTAAAACGGGGTTGTTGTCGGTCCAGGGTTTGGTTTGGAGGTGAGGTTGCGTGACTTCCCATCCTACAAGAACCGCTTCAATTCCCAGCATCCAGTTGCTTGGGTGTTCGGCCAAGCAAGTTGATAGTCACCTAGGTGAAAATCGACTTGTGAGTCACCCGAAGTGGGCTTCACCTTGCCACTAGGTTATAACCCAGGTGGCTAACTACTTTCTAACTTGGCCTCCAGCCTCTAAGGGCCCAACATCCAAAAGCCGGTTCTCAGGTACGAGGACCAGCGCGCCCAGAAGCGCGCGGCCACTCCCAGCGGCCGGAAAGGGTCTCTGAAGCCCATCTCGCACTGGCGGGCCGCGCTGGCGGATTTCGCCCTGGGGTCCCTGCAGCCCAGCAAAGGCCGGGGAAGTGGGCGGCTCGCGTCGATCTCGGGCGGAATTTGGGGAAACAAGTTTTGGCCAGGTCGAAAATGACCCACTGCAAAATATCCACTTTTGGGGTATCATGTCAACCCTTCACGGAAAAAGGAGGTAACACGGGACTTGAGCCATAGGTGTCCTTTTGGATGGTGACCTGGTTTCATCGACTACCAGGGCCATCTATTTCCCAAAGGGACACCTTGGATTTGGCCATGTTAAAAGCCACACTCTGCCGAATTGCAGGATTTGGTGAAACAAGTTTGGGAGCTCTTTGTTAGGGCACCCCAAATGGGTGGTTTTCCTTTGGATTCCTTTTGAAACCAGAAAGGAAGGGGTGCCCTGAAGAAAAGAGGCGCCCATTGTGTGATCTTGCGGGGAAGCGTGAACAGGCAAGAGCTCCCAATGGGAATGTTCCCCTTGCTCCCTTAGTCATTTTTTGGGAAGACCATTCTAGTGGTAAAACCCAACAAGGCTCCTGGTTAGTTGTCTTGGGGGATTCAGTCCACTTGTTGGATTGGAGTTCCTCCAAATGGTTCCCTGCGGTTTGATCGTAAACGTTGCCATCTCCACTTTCTGCTCCCTGCGTTCCCATTTAGCAGTTGATTGGAAACAAAAACAGGACAACCCATAAGTGATAAGTTCAGACTCCTGTTGCAATCGTGGATTTGTTCTCCTATTGCTGGAACCACATATTGTTTCAGCCGTGGATGTTTGATCTGTTTGTTGAGACCCCCCTTTCATCCTTTGTAGTGTTAACTGGTTGAGTGGTCAATGAAACCCCGTGTTGGTAACCCTTGTAGGTTGGTTGCCAACTTCCCCGCCTCTTTTTTCAACTCACAACCAGCCCCACTTGGGGCGAGTGAACCAACCTAGTCCCCCTCCGCCAACTCCCCCCAACTCCTCCGTTTATCATGGCACTATTTTGGTGCGTCCCCAACCACCTCATTCGCAGGAACCCCCAGTTCCCCCCCAAACCTCCAGTTACCCCCCAATTACATCCAGCCCCCAAGTTCCCGCCCCCCAACCTCCCCAAGTCCCCCCCCTGGTCCTATGTCTCCAGGCGAGTTCGCCTTGATCCAGCAGCGCGCGCTGCTGCTGCGGCACTTGGAGACCAAGGCGCTGAACCCCGGCCTCGCCGCCCTCGCCGAGGCCGTGGCCTTCCGCTTCGGCGGCCAAGCGCCTCGCTAGCAGAAGCCGCTTCGGGCACTCAGCCGGGCGGGGGCCCCAGAGAGGACAAAAACGGATTTGGTGCCGAAACCCCCGTAGGAATACGTATGAATACTATGAATCCGCCAAAGCTTGCATGGAAAGTGATAGATGTCTTTGTTTTTTGCGTATACGCAAAGAAGCCAGTGAATGTAACAGCGCTCAAATCCCCAAAGAGTTGATCACAGGACCAGGTGGCAGAATCAAGTCCCCGCTGCCGGGCACCCCGGATTTAAAAAAAAAACTGGTCGATGAATAGGGGGCCTCTTGAGTGGGGATTCATCAGGGGGGTTGGCAACCTGCAGGCTTGTTGGAAAGAAGCGATGGGTGGGGAAGCGATGGGTCTCTGGGGGGGGGGAGAATGGACCTTTAGTTGGTGGTGTTTGAATGTTACGCTGCAGGTTTGCCTTTTGGCGTGGAAACAAAGTCCTTCAAACGCTCGTCGTACCCTTTGTCAAAAATTGCTAATGTGCCATGGCCAAACCACCCTTCGGCAATTCTCCCTGTGGTAGGAATGATGGACCGCTAAATGGGCAATTTGGACAACCTTGATCTTCAACGTGGCAGTCCAATTGCTTGAGAATCAGTTGTTTTTGTCGCCTCGTGGAATTCAAGGGAATCTATCACTGCTTGACATATGTGTATTTTTTCCCAGGGTGCGTATTCGCACATGGAGGACATAAGGGACTGCCCAGTTTCCCCTACTTTCTCGCAGAACATAGGGGGCCTGCCCGATTCTGGGGTATCCAAGCCAAAACTATAAACATGTTTTTTCCGGGTAGACTACCTACTCACTCCGCGAGTTTCCGGACTTTGTACTTTTTGGGAAGACCATTTTGGTGGTAAATAACAAGTTTGGGCAAGTCTCGTATGAAGCAGACTCCCCCCTTTCTGTGGGCCAACCATCAGGTAACCCGGAATTGGTGGTTTGGGTTTGAACGAGTCCCTGGTTCTTGTAGAGGCCAAATGGGACACCACCCCCAACCACCAAACCACCAGGCTCCAAACCACCAATTGGACGGACGCTGAAATTGAAATCAACCACAGGTCAATTGTTCTCCGTGGCTCATATGATTCTTCTTTGCGCTTTGTGTAATATTTCTTGTGGCTCATATCCCTTTGGTCTTGGGGGATCCATGCAGGGAAGTCTACCAACTAGAAGTGATATATTTTGTGTGGCTCATATGTTCTTTGGGCTGAGCGGCTGTCTGTCAGTGGACTCCCCTCGTATCCAAGGAGAAGGCGAGGCTGGGCCTCGCGAAGATCTTCGGGGAGACGTTGTCCTTGCTGGACCTCGCGCCTGGGATGGGAGTTTTGTCGGTTTGAGAACGCCCCAGTGGCGAACGTTTCGGCCGCGGTCTTTGTCGGTTGTGGTGAAAAAGGGGAACCGACATGAAGACCTTGTTTCATTGCTTTTGCGTGGAGGGGGAGGGTACCATTTTGTTTGGAGGGAACTATTTTTTGGAGGAAAGGGAAAGGCAACTTGTTTTTGTTTTTTTTGGGGGGGAGGGAGAGAGAACCATGCATTTTTCTTGAGGCGACTAATTGGGGGGGGGGGGTTAGAAGGAGTTTTTTTGCTTGGGGGAGGGGGGGGGGGGGCAGATTTTGACACACACCCTGTGCGGCATTGTTGTTGTTTGCTTATGCATCCTTAAGTTTTGGAGTGCCTCCTTGCTTTCATGCTTGCTTGCTTTTGCTTGCTTTTGCTTGCTTTTGCTTGCTTTTGCTTACTTTTGCTTGCTTTCGCTTGCCTGCTTGCCTGCTTGCCTGCCTGCCTGCTTGCCTGCTTGCCTGCTTGCCTGCTTGCCTGCTTGCGAAGGAACGCACCGCGAAGCCCAAAGTCAAAGTCGAAACATGAGGGAAACACCACAGGGCGAACACCACCTGAAGGGAAACCACCCGCAACCGAAAGGGGCCAAGGGTCTCACGCCAAATTATGGGAGTTTCTCACCAGTTGGGGACACAATGAGTATTGCCTGCAGGGACTCAAATGTAGACACCGTACCCTGTGGGTTGAAGCCTACCAAGTAATCAACACATGGAACTCTTGTGGACTATAACCAGTATTGCGGGAACCCCAACATGGCGGTGTTCCTTCAAGTTTTCCTTAAAAGCAAACCTGAAAAGGATACCCTCAACAAAGCAAATGTCCAAATGTTCGCTGTAACTCCCTAACTTTTCAGAGACACCCACAGAGACTTTGCTCAGGCGGTGCTGTGCTCGGCTTCTGACCTGGACCTATCCCTGCTCTGTGGGGAAGACCTGGATGTGGTGCTGGCGCATTTGCTGCCCCCAGGCGAATCGATCGGACGAGACATGCGCGCCCTCCTATGGAATCGGGGGGTGGCACCCGGAATTCCATCTGGGTTTTGGTGGGACGGGTCAGTCCCAGAAGGTTCAGCGAGATACGGGCGTTCCAAATGATTGCGTTTCGAAGAGAAGATCACCATCTTAGCGGTGAATAAACAGTTCAGACTTTTTGGGGGGCAATCCAGTCAGCATTGAAGGAAGTGGTGTGCCTGAAGTCGTTGATGTTTGAAGCCTCTCGAACCTCCATGGCCTCCCCGAGGGGAAAGGGGGTGGACGCCAATAAGGAATGCCGTCCATTTGGAGGTCTGTTTTGGGTCAGTTGTTCTTTTTGTTTGGTTAATACTGGTTCTTGGTCGGCTTTACTCAATGGGCCAGTTGTTTGGTCGGTAGTGCGGATGGATTCACCATTTCGGCCAATTCGCTCTCACTTTCGTGAGTTTGGTCAGTTTTGGGTGTTTTTGTATCGGGTTGTTTTGCGTGACACCAGAACCCAGTTGGAAACGGACCCAACGGTGGAAAAGGGAGCCATCTCTTGTTGGTGTCGAGTGGTCCCCAAGCCACCAAACAACAAGAAGGGACTTGGAGCGTGCAAAGGGAAACAACGAAACCCGTTTTGAAAGTAGCAGTGAGTTGGGTTCAAATGTTTATCCTTGAAAAAGGAGGTGCAAGGCGGATATGTGAACCATTGATAAGCTTGAACCCTGTTTGTCCTCAAAAAGGCGTCAAAGTGAAGCGTGGAGGTTGTTGTTTTTGAGGGGGGGGGGCCAAACTCAAAAATGGGGAGGTCCAACCAGGCCTTCCCCCCCCCCCGACCTTTTCCCCATCCTGGGGCCTGGAACCTGGTTCTGGCAGGCTGCTTTCCCCCTCCCCCACCTGATCCTGGGTGTGGGAATGGCCTGGGCGGGTCTGGGGTCGCTGGCAGGCTGCCAAGGGGCGGACGTCAACATTTTGCTGAGCCCGGGCTCGGAGGAGCTGGGCCGCCGTGCGCCTGTGGACTTCCAAAGGCGGGGAAGACCATGGGTCAGCGGGCCCGGGGCGGGGGGGGGGAATGGCGCTTTTCGGTGTTCAACTCGGGGTGTTCCTGAAAAAGAAGACTTGCCGCCCACAAAACGGGTCTCCTCAAATTAAGACACCCACAGAAGCCGTTATAACGAGGTTTGTGGGTGACAATGCCCTAGTAGGGTGGGTTCTACTCGGATGGCTCTACTTCTGAACACTGAAAACGTGGCCTTCCATTTGCGTAAGTTTGGTTATCTGTGTTCCCCTGCTCGACCCTGATGGTTCGTGGATCGTTTCGGCTCGGGGAATTTGTTACACGTACAGTGTTTCTCCGAACCGTTCCACACCAATAACCACATGGTAAAACCTACTTGGGTGTGCGGCCAAGTTTGTAAGTTGTTGGCAACCTAGGTGCAAACCCACTTATAAGTCACCCCAGTGAGGTTAAGCTTATCATTAGGAGGGTATAACCTAGGTGGCCATCCAATTGCTAACTTGGCTGAGCATCCGAGTAGGAAACCCTTGACGCATCTTTGGAGCAGCCCTACTATAGCTCTCGAAGCTGTTTGAAATACCAGTCCGCGATATGTGTCTTTTTGGTCAGCTGTTGTTCCATCTCGTGTCCTGCTAAGCTCCCTACGTGTCCGCCCTAAACACCCCCCAGCCAGGGAGCCCACCTTACTTGTAAAATGGCAACAGGCTTGCCACGGCAGAATGAGACAAGCTCGCAAACACTGAATCGCAAACAATCGCATTATCTCGAATTAGACCAACACACACACACATGCAATCACACCTACGAATCGCACGCAAGCACGTAATCATACACTCTCTCACGCACACACACACACACACACACACACACACACACACACACACACACACACACACACACACACACACACACACACACACACACACACACACACACAAGCTCACACACAAGCTCACACACAAGCTCACACACAAGCTCACACACAAGCTCACACACAAGCTCACACACAAGCTCACCCACAAGCTCACACACAAGCTCACACACAAGCTCACACACAAGCTCACACACACAGCGCAACGCAACGCAACGCAACACACGTGCACCTACGCACACACACACACACACACACATGCACGCTCACATGCATACAAACACACACGCACATGCACACAAGCAACCACACACACAAACAAAATAAATAAATGTACGCACAAGCACAATAATGCACAATCGCACAAACACGCAGGACCACGAAGGATCATGAGCACCAATACTCACAATCATATACACTCACACATGGAACTGCCCGGACCAAGGCTGCAGGCGAAGTGGTACCTACTGGGCGCTTTTCTAGGCCTCGCCAAAGGCGAGGCCGAAGCGTCGGAGAAGGATAGGCTCAATGCCCAGCTCAAGCATTTGGAGCTGCGATTGAAACCTTGGCGCCTTGGACGGTCTCGAGTTTGACTCGCCTTTGTTTCATGCCGGGGGCGGCGAGGGGGACGGGGGGGGGGAGGAGGGTGGAACCTTCTTTGAAGCTCCATGAAGTCAGGTGAGCGCCCAACACCCCCCCACAGGGCCAGTTTAGTAGGTGGCTCCATTCGGCGTTGTGGGGTTATAGAAAGGCAGATGTCACCTGAACCAGCCTGGTAGAACCCAATCGTCAGGTTCCGCGAGCTGCTCAGATGTTCTGTCTTTCCATGGGGTTTAAAGAAGCTCCAATGCACTTAGCAGTTGAAGGCAATAAGAGGCTATACTTATTTATGCCTTAGGAGGTGTCTTGTTGGATACCATTATTGGAAGCCATTTGAACAGGTGTTTGCAACAGGCTCGTTTGCTCACAGGGAGCCTTATATAGCTCTGGGCTTCAACAGCATTGTTTTAATGATGTTTGAAAGGGATCAGTTCAACCAAAAAGGGCCCAACTTGGAATGATCAAACATCAACCATCAAAGGTTACCTGTCACAACTTTGCCAGACATCTCTGTTCGAAAGCCTAGGCGGTCCAGCCAACAAACCAACCAACCCACATACCAACCAACCAACCAACTAATCAACCAACCAGCCAACCAACCAGGTTTACTTTTCAAGAGGTCACGTCAACAGCTGATGTTGAATAGCCATGTCTTCAGGCGGTTTAACCACCCAAACTTCGAAGGGTTGATTCCCCATTCTTTTCACTCATCATTATTTTCAAAAACCGGATCCGTTTTCCCAGGGTTGGTGGTTTTCTAAAGAGACTCGGATCCCTGGAAAGAATGGGGAAGCTATCCTTAGAGAACTGCTTAGGTTCTTCTACGCCATCGAACCTGACTCTCCCGGACCCGGCGCTCGGGCCATGTCCTCGGACGCTTTCGGGAAGTTCTTCGAGGACGCAAACGCGGTGGACGCGGCGTGGGCCAAAAAGTTGGACCCCGCAGCGGTCCAGGAGCGGCGAAGTCCAAAAAAGGGCTGGCAACATGTCTTGCATTCTTTGGTTGGCGGTTCTTTGTTGTTGTTTTTATTTTTTCAGGTCACCCTCTGTCGGCTCTTTAGATATTTGAGCCTTACCCTCCACACCACCAATCTAAGACAATTCGAGGGATGCTGATAGTTTATCCCCTTTCTGTGTGGCTACTCTTTTTGGGAGCTGCATGGTCAATTCGGGCGGGACATGGGGGACTCTCTAACTCATTGTCCTGGACTGGGCGCGAAACTGCAACCCATACGTTTGGTTTATTTATTGTGTTTCCTCCCACAAGGACACCACCATAGGTTTGTTCTGTTGGGCCACACTGTTGTTCTTTGTTTTAATGAGTTGGCACCCACGTATTTTTGGAGTTTGCAGGTGAAGTTTGAGAATGTGACTTGCAATCATGGCAAAGCTGTCCGTGAATGACACCAATGCGCCTTACTGTCTTTGTTTCCCTTCGGAGTGGTGGATCCATGTTGGCCCCAAACGCGGGTGTGAACAACACAAATCGGACGCCGATATTGGGACAACTGGGCATTTGTGTCAGACACTTGGACAACTCTGTTCCGTTACACTTACCATGTATGCCATGGTTAGACCATGTCTAGTGAACACAGCCTTTGGCCTTGTTGCCGGCCCAATCTGGTGCTATCTTTTTTGATGGTACCCTTTCTGGGGTGTCTGAAAGGAAAATCCGAAGGGCAGACGGTCATTTTGCGGGGTCACTGGAAAAGACCCCGCTGTGTCCACCGATTCTATAAGACACGTCTAAACCCAGCGGTTCATTTCCCCAGCCCTAGGTTTCTGGGTGGAAATCAGCTTTTGGGGGGTCTGGTGGTTTCCGTATTTCCACAAGTGCTTCACTGAATCAGAAAGCGGAGAACAGGTGCAAGTGTACCTTGGGGGTCAGTACATTGCCCCCTTCGCAATGAGCCGCTGCATGGCTCCTATTTTGGGGGTGGTTCATTTCCCCAACGGAAGCCCACTGGGTTCAAGTCCAAAAGCGGAGCCCACTGAGTCGCCCACGCTGGATCGAAGTCGCGAGGAGGCCTTCCAAAAGGCCTCAGAGGCCGCTGAAACGAGCCAAACCGCCTCCCAAACCTCGTTGCCGGACGGCGGTTCTGCGAAGGCGCGGGGGTCGGAGGCGTCCTCTGGCGTTTCAGAAAAAAGGTTTTCTGATTCCAAGGCTCACCTTGCGAGTTTCTGGACTTTCGTCACCTTCTGGGGTTGGGAAGATCATTTTGGTGGTAAATAAGAAGTGTAGGCTTTTTGTGGCAAATCTACTCGGGAACTGGGAAAGGAATCTGGCACTACTGGAAAGTATGTTCTCGTGTTTTCCAGGCGAGAAGCGCAAATGGAAGCAGGTAAGTACTGAGAAAGCAGTTCCAGCCACAAATCGGTGAGGCTATCCGCACTTTCGGTTCTTTACCATGGTTTTTGGGTAGACCACGGGAATGCCAGATTTTAAGCCATAGGGTTGATTTGTTGTTGGAGATCATTTGTTTGCTTTGCAGGGACTTCCAGAGGGCACAGCTTGTTTAGGAATCCCCCATTCGTAGAATTGCAAATCCAACTGGGCGTGTCCTTTGGTCTTTTTGTTTCTGTTCACCAATATAGTTGTTTGTTTTTGTGTGTGTTTCTTTTTTTCCCAACAGCTGAAAGCTTTGGGGTCTCAGCCCAGATAGGCTCCGGGGTGGTCGGGGCGGCCCTGAGGTAAGGTTCCACCAGGGTTCCACAAAGGTTCCACGAGGTTCTGAGAGGGCTGCGGGGTGGTGCGAGCACTAAAAAGAGCACCGCATGCTGTTGGGGATATCACCTTGGAAAAACCACCTTTTCTTTTGGGGTGGGATGCCCTTTTCTAGCACGAGGCGAAGGATGCCTTCGTTGCATCCTTGGCCTCGGCCCGTCCTCCTGGCAGACTTGCAGTTCCTCTGAATGAGAAATGAGATCCTTTGGTGATTGGACATATCTTTTCTTGAGGATGAGATGGTAATGTTGACCCCATATTTATGGTAATGTTGACCCCATATTTTCATCACCCCCAATTAAAAAAGGGGTGAAATGTGGTTGGAGTCAGACCACTTTTGGAGGGGGACACAGCCCCCTATTAATAAGCTGGTGTTGATTCATATGGGGTCAACACTATATACCTTTTTTGGAGTTCTCCTGTTTTGCGGGACGTCAATGTGATTAGAGGCTTGCTCTTTTTTCTTCCCGACACAAAATCCCACAGGGCATGGATCTGGTGCACTCATCAAATGTGTGCTTCCCACCCACTGAAAGCCTGGTTGCCCATGGACACTAAGGGGCACCCATGGGTCAAAGCAACTTGGATCCGTCCAAGTGGATGGCCTCAAAGATATTCCACTTTACTTGATGTTTCTCAGCAATTTCCTTAGGCATTTTGATCTTTTTGGTTGGTTTAGTGGAGGTTTCCCACGCATCCCTCCTGCTTTTGACACGGCAAATATGTCAATACGTGGGTCTTCTGTCCGCCGTATTCTGCGCTTCGCCCAAGAAACAAAACACACACACACACACACACAACGGGGTCCACGGTCACAGGGTCCTTGTGTCCTTGTCAGGAGGGCCTTTGCTTCGAATCCTTCAAGAGGGCTTTGAAGTTGCTGGCCACGGCAGTCGCCCCGTCGATCGTGTCGGCCCTGTCCGACTGCTGAGCCGAAACCGCGCGGTTTCGCTTTGTGTCGAAAGACCTGGTGGGGGCTAAGAACCAATCTGGATGTTTGCCAGAAGTTTAGGACCTCCAGGGGCTAAGAAGCAGAATCTGAATTGCTGCCAAAGAAGATATTGCCCCAAGATTTGGGGTGATGTCCCTTTCTTGAGGGTGTAGTTTGAGGGTCCAGGTATTTTGATGTTTGTTGGGGTGAGATGATTTCATGCGAAGGTCTTTCGACCGTCGGTACCTAGTCAGCCACCCCTAAGGGGTGGCTGCGCCTGACGGCAATCCCAGGCTCATCTGAGACGACCCGCAGAATTTGGGTATGACAGTGGACAAGTCTATCCAGCGTGTTAAGGGAAACTGCAAACATAATCCTTTTATTTGAGAACAGTTAGCTTTGAGGGCAAGCAGAGGTAGCCGCATTCGGAACGAATTGTGAACTCACCGAGGGACATGAAGGTTCCTGAAGGCTCCCTTTCGGGACGAGGGACCCAGAGTGGCAACCAGTATTTTTCTCAGAATCCCTTCTAACATGTCGAGGATTTCAGGACTGCTGGTTGGGGGGGGGGGTTATGCGCGGGTGACGGACTTCCAACATGGAGCCTCGGAGTCTTTTGAACGCCATGTGTCTTGTTTTCAGGCCCCTTTTTGGGGTTGGAATAAAGAGACGCCAACAGGAAACGACATACCGAAACGAGATACCCATGCAGAACTTCACCGGATTTTGTCTAGTCGGCGTGAGCCATGGTGAAGTCTCAGACAGCCAGGGTCACTCAGGCTGTGCGACTAGTTGAAAAAGCGGGATCTCGCCATATGTGTGCCTAATTCGGCCTTCTTGTTGGGGCTGTTTGAAGGCCATGGCCCCCTTGTCAGGGCAAAATGTGGCAACGCAAAGATGTTGTTGTGGTTTTTCACTGGAAAGGTGCCCTGAGTATGTTGTTGGTTGCTTTCCCAGTGCTGGAAAAGTGCCACTTTTGTTTTTGCTCAGCCCTCCTCTTGTTTTCGGACAGACCAGTCTCCGAACCATTTGGGTCTTTAAGACAGCCAGATGGGGTCGGCTTGCAACCAAACCAGCATCGCCGGTGCGCCGGTGCGAAGCGAAAGCGAGCGACGCGCGAGGTTGGAAGAGGCACGGCAGAATGCCAACGCGAACATGGCGCCGGCCTCGGGTCTACACAAGGGTCCCTTGGTGTAGACGGGAAATTCGACTTGTTCAAGCCTTTTGCGCACACTGAGACTTGGAAGCCAAGCCCACATCCGATTCTTTCTCGGCATGCTCAGAAGACCGGCCAGGACGAGCGTTGTTGAAAACCCCTGCGAGGCAAGAAACCTTCGTGACCATAGGTGGCCTTTATATTTCAGTTGGTTTGAAAATAGTTAAACAGCACTGGTTGCAGGTTGGTTCCAAGCATTTACCAGTTCCATCTATTTTATCAAAAGGATGCTCATGACTGCTTGGTCACCTTGCATCCAGCTGTTGTCAAACTCGCAGAGACGCCACTCCTCGCATTGTGGCGGGCTCCTGATCTGTTGGCAAAACGACAGGCAACGGACTGCACCTGTGTGCAAACCTGCTCAACTCAGTTGGAAGATGCATGCATTTTGGCCAGGACCAGTTTGGGTTCCCCAGAGCCTTAACATGAAGACTGAAATGAGCCAATTATTTGTAGGTCTCCTCCTTTTTTAACCACATGACCAAGCCACCAAAGATGGATAGCCATCAGTTAGACCACCACTCAGGTGATCATGCTCATCGGCAACAAATGTGACCTCGACCGCCGCGAGGTGCAATGGCTCGAAATCATATCTCTGACCTATCAGTGCTCGAGCCAATAGGTTGTCAAGCATGAGGACATCTATCGGAGCATGAGACACATTTGAGCCACCAATACCCCTGGTAGCCCGTTGTTGCTTTGGAGAGGACATGGGGGGACCTACCCAATCCCTCTGCCTAATCTTTTGGCGAGCTGGGGGTAGAACGAGCTCACCATGGTAAAGATCCTTTACTTGGGGGTTCCTTACTTCAGTACTTCAGGTTTTGGGAGAGTTTTTTTTAAATGAAAACAACAACATTAAAAAAAAAAGAAGAGAAAAACAAAACGGAGGAAACAAGAAGAAACAAAAAAGCGCCGGACTCTCCCCCCCGTTTTGCTCGGGAGAATATGTTTGGACCCCCCTTTAAACCAAGGAGGTCCTGGAGCTTCCCGGATCGGATCCGGGTGTTTTTTGGGTGCGACTTTCGTCGAAAGGGGAGCGACTTTTGGACATCTGGCGAACTCGGCGGTTGGAGGGCGGAAATTGGTCCACTAAAATGGTCCACTCAAGTGGTTGGAGGGCAAACAATTGGTAAGTTGGATGGCACTTGAGTTCGGGGTTTTCCCCATTCGAAACTCATTTAGCCATTTTTTTTGACCAGCGGTGTTGGTTTGGATCCGTAGCGTTCAAAAACCATTCACGCAGACTTGAACAAGGGTCCATTCAACATGGGGCCTATGCCAGGTTTATCTTGAGAGGTTAGTTGAGTCAAGGGCTTGCATTTCCGGCCCACCTTAAGAAAATAAACCGGGCCCCGGAAAAGCTCGGATTCGATTGGACTTCTGCGTTCCGGTGGGGCCCTCCCAAAATTTGCTTCCCTGAAACGTAGCCGAGTCCAGTCCGTCCCCAGACACTCGGATGTCACTTGCCTGCGGCTTCACTGCGGGGCGAAGACACTGAGACAGCCCAAATGGTGCAGACCCCGATGTTGGGACTTTACCCAGTTGCTGGGTGGATTCCGCGCTTTTTTCGACTTTTTGTTTTGGAAAGGTTTCCCTTTAAACTCAACGAACTAAAAAAGGATGCCCTTTTTTCCCATTGAAATCCACTGAAAATCTGAGGTTATGGATGTTGGGTAGATACTTTTTTGACACCCGTTGAACGTTGAAACATTCCGAAACATAATCTCTTCCCCCATATTAATAAATATGCCCCCCCCTCCCCTATTATAAATAAATCCCTCCATTTCATATATATATATATTTATTTTTAAATTGGGGTTTTTGGGGTTGGGTTCTTTTTGCTTTTCCAACAATGTGAGGGTTCACATAGGATTTGGAGGAAATAGATCGAATTGTAAGCTCCGCGAGTAAGCGGTTTAATAAGGATTTTTTTTTGTATCATTCTATTTGTTTTTCAGTTTACTGGTTGTTTGTTTGCAGCCAGGCAGGTTAGGTAATTAATTAGCCAGCATGTACGGGAGAGAGACAGTCGCAGCTAGACAGCTTTTGAGGACATGTTTGCTTTTGAGGGACACCCCAATAATTACAGGACCCAATTACAAAAAACAACACTTTGAAACCCACCTTTTGAGGAACCCACCTTTTGAAAAGTGAGGCTGGAAGCTTGCTAGAAGTGCCCCCTAATAAGGATTCCAAGACTTTAGTATTGGTTTAGTATTGGGGCAATGGAAAATCAATTGTGCGGAGTGGAAATCTGGTCTCGGGCCCCGGATTTGCATTTATTATTAATGGGGGTGATTCATTAACCGGGGGAAGAGATTATTTCAAGTCAACAGGCACAGCTGACCTACGCTTTGTACTCCCTCTCACAATGTTGAGCAGCTATTGATGCACCTGTGCTTTGGGCCTTCGGAGCAGCAAAAGCTTGCAACCATTCTGTAGTTCCACCGATTTCAGACACATCCATACCCTCAATTGAGGATCCTAAACTGAGGGGTCTTGAAATCCTTTTAGTTTCGCTTTCAAACCGCCCAAAAACTGGTACGGGCTCCAAAACAGAGACCTGAAATTGTGGCTTGCCTTTGGTTTCCCTTTGAAGCCTACCAACAAGGGGATCAAATCAGGGAATGTGGCAAGTGCCTGTGAGGTCACCTATGAGGAAGGGGCCCAGTTTGCACGAGACCACGGCCAGGGCGCTCGGGATTCAGCGGGATTCGGCGCTTGGAGTGTCACTGTCGCCCCCTTGAGGGGGCCATGTGAGTTCTTCCAGTGGGGACCCGTGTTGCAAACTTGGACCTTCAAAATGGCAAGTGTTTTGCCTTTTGGTGTTCCTTCAAACCAGACCTTTTGGCGCTTCCGAAAGGAGACATCCGTCTTATGTTTCCCAATAGTCCCTTTTTTGGGCTTCCCTCTGCGGCCATTCCATTCCGAAGGGGATGGTCCTGGCAGTACTTGGCGTATTCGGCGGAAGGGCCCCCCCATACCCCAAGTTTAAGACAATTTCAGCATCACTTGTTGGAAGGATGATATTTTTCCATCGGCAACCGTGTTTTGGTGCGTATCCCCCTTTTTGCAGGACAGCTTCCCAAATGTGCACTTTGATGTTGACTGTGGGAGCGTACAGGGACACTTATTAACAGAACATATTCATGATGTAGGGCAACGAGATACAACTAATCCCAGCAGTTCCGACTACATGTTGGGGCTACATGTTGTTTGCATGTTATCCTTAGGCTTTGAATAATTTTCTCTAATGGTCGCCTACAATGGTAGCTGGAAGCACTGGATGTTGGGAGATGTTAACACGCCTGATTGTGTGTTCTTCGTGCCAGTTGTTTGTTTAAGATGGCCGCTGGATCATACTGCCAAATATTGAAGGGAAGAGTACCCTCGCACAAACAAGCGGAAAGATAGCCGATCCAAAAGGGGTGGCACTTCCATGCTGGTGCGAAATGGAGGGTACCAACGTACCTAAAGCAGCACTGCGACGGAGTAACTTGCGCAAGACCAAATCGACAGCTCAGCGAGCGTCCGTCTCGAAGGCTGAAGAGCGCCTGGCGTGTCGCTTGCTTGAGGGACTTGGCGATTTCTCCACCATTCAGGTGGGTCCTTTTTTGAGGGTACCTTTGTTTGCTGGTGTGAAAGGAAAGCCAAAACGATCAAATGCAATTTTGAGGGTCGGTAAAACAAGAACACACTCATCTAAATAGTTCAATATAGGGCCGATGCAATTTCAGCTTTCTTGAGCAAGGCCTAATCTTCAGAGAGACCTCGGCCAAGACGGCGCAGAACGTCGAGGAGGCGCAAGCAGAAGCAAGCGGAGGTTTTGAATCAAATCGAGCATGGAACCGATGGTGCAGTTTAACTGCGCTACTTCCAACAAACATGGAAGCTGACAGAAGGGTTTTGGAAGACCTCCTTCCTTTTGGGGGAGCCCTTTGTATTGCCAGAGGGCAAACCGTGGACGCAGCTGGACACTGCTGGAAACTAGTCGAAAGCTCGATGGAATGGGTGGTGGAAATTCCAAGATATGTTTACACTTCTAGGTGGTGCTTTTTTCAGGGTTCCGTACATGTCCCCTTTTCGTGGTTTGAACATCACCTTTTGGGCCAATTTAGAGTGAGGTTGCTTGTGGCGGTAAGGAGAACTCTGGTTTTGTGTTCTTGTTTTTTTGTTGCCAAACCAGTGTTGAAAGACAAACCCCGAATCTGCCTCCCATTACTCATCCGTTTAGAGCGAGCTTTTTCCGCTCCATAGCGACCTTGCGAGAAAAAGGCAAACTGATGCCTGTACTTTTCAATTCTTCAGTGGGACCCGTTTTTTTGTTTGTTTTTGTTTCGTGGGGCCCATGCTAAAAATGGAAAAGCAACCCAGCAGGGCAAAGCCCTTTTCTCAATATCCTGACAAGTGTCACCCAAATGGGTTTCTCTCAAGGGGAAGGGTGCCTTTGGGTTTCCTTTAAACCAAGTAGATGCCCAGAAAGGGCACATCGAGATTCTGGAGACCAGAAAAGACCTACGAGACCGTGGCGAAGATTGGTGTAGGTCATGGCATCGCAACCGGGACCGAACAAAAGTCAACCAGCGAGCGGAGCTTGTTTCCAGTGCCATCTACTCTTGCGAAGGCTACTTTTTCTTTTGGACATCTATCCACTTCCCTGATTGTAGGGAGGGTGCTAGTCAGGAAGGAGCCTCGCTTGGATTGGTGGTCTGGGGCTTTGAACCCAATTTTGATATGCCAAATGGGGCTGATGTCTTTTTTCCTCGTAGAAACCCAAAATGAGTTTCCTTCCCCAAACAGAGATTCTCCATGCAGCGTTGTTTGGCTCCGTGTAAATTTCAAGGGGAGTCAACCTAAAATGCGGCAGCCGGATGACAAAAACCACACGCAAAAAGTCGTGGGTGGGCTTCCTTTGGTTATGGTACACTGGGTGCTCACCCAGCTGACCATGTTCAACTTGTTTTGTAGTATTCAGGGACGCCTTGTCCTCAACGACGAAAAAGGCTTGTGGGCGGCCAACAAAACAGCATGGGCAGTGCCTGTGGCTTCGCGTGGAACGGCAGGCCTTCATTCAGACGGCCCGGAAGATCTACGAGAACATCCAAAACAACGTCTACGATCTCAGCAGCGAGGCGCGGCACAAGTCGAAGCAGAAGGTTCCCTTCAACGGCTCGGTGCGGAAGCGCCGGGAAGTTCCACGGAAGCCCAGGAACCAGTTTCAGGTGCTTGCCACTGGCAATATCCCACTTTTACGGGTAGTTGGGTCCAGGTACAAACATGATTCAGATCAGGTTGTTGGTTGATTTCCCAAGTCCCCAGCCTCAGTCCTAAGTTAGGCATCGAGGAACAGATTGAAAGCCAGCCGGTTGCGCTGGCGGTTTTCGCTGCCTTTCGTCGGGCCTTTGTACAAAGCTAGTCTGAAAGGAAGAACTGCCAGGGCGGACGACTGGAGCTAAGCCCAAAACCACCCACACAAGTCCATGTGTGTGTGTTTTTGTTGTTGAAAACTGCCTTGTAGCAGGATAGATAATGAGTAGCACAGCTTCTCAATTTCCGTGTTTTTTTTCTTCTTTTTTCCCCCCCCTTTATCCTTGTTTTTTTCCCGTTTCTTTTTTTCAAGCAAAAGTACTAAGCTTGGATGCTCCAAGGAGAAGCCTTAGGATGTTGAAGCGTCGTTGGTTGTTTGAACATTTTCTCGCAACTGTTCAGCCCAAGCCTGACGATCTGCATGTGACTTGTGTGCGCTCATAGCGCGGTTTGCACCCTCGGGCTGAGCGGATGCTATTTCTCCTGAAGTGTTCCGTAGACTTCATAGCTGAGGAATTCAGAGCGCTGGCCTTGCTGGTTTTGAATGAAAACACGAAGCTTAGGGTGTCAAACATATTGGGACGCGTTTTTTTATTGGCGGGCCCCACAAAGACCATGGCCCTGAAAGGATACCTATTTTGGACAACCCCCCAAACCTTTGCAACACACAGGGAAACAACAGCACCACAAGTCCGGCTAGATTTGGATCTGTCCATAGGTCGAGCAAGGTAAGGAACTGGGCCGCATCAGCATCCCTATCACTTTTGGGCTCCCTTGTGAAATCGCAACTTTCCATTCTAGGTGACTTGCCAATTCTGGTCGTCCCTTTCCCAAATGGCGTGACGTTTTTGGTTGAACCCACCTTACGGAAGCCAGGACAAGCCATGAAGTGCATTTCAATTTTGAGCCGCTGGTTTGGCGCATCTTTTGAGGGGGCCACCTTTAGGATTCATTTTAAAGGGAAACCAAAAGCAAACCACCACTTTCGGGGGTTCCCATTTGTATTTGGAGGCCGACCGCTTCACTGTTGGCATGCTTTCAGGTTTTGAGTTGTTTTTGGTTCTGTGCTGTTTGTAGTTAGGAGACTGCAACTAAGCAACGTTTTTTGCTACCATAATGTGGATGATCGAAATCCTGCACCACTTTGAAACCATGGTTGAAACAAACCATTGTTTGTTGGTATTCGCATGGGTGTCGAATCATTCCAGGTGTTTTTTTGTCGCGAAACGGATTTCACCCGTCCACAGTAGGGTTGGACGCAGGTAACCTAGTTGGTGGTTTGCATGGTTTGGGATTTGAAATTTAGTTTTGTAGAGGGTCGATGGGGTTGACCACCCCCCAATTTCATCACCAAAGCTCCGGTTTGGCTCCAAGCCAAACGAGGGAAGCTGAATCGGTTTCAGGCCGGGGCCCCCTCTGTTCATGTTGAGCCTTTTCGCCGATCCGCCCAGAGCAGCGGCATCAAAGTGGGCATGCCACCGTCAGGCCATTCGAGCGGCTTTTTTTCGATGGCGCTTTGGTGCATTTTGCTTGGATGCTAGGACTTTGACTTTTTGCCAACTAATGAGTTTCTATTAAACCACTAAAAGTTACACTTTTAGCAGGGGATCAGAAAACAACCGATGGCGGTTGCGGTTGATATGTCGTTGTTTTTTCTCAGGGATCGTGACGTGGCGTCAGCTTCCTTCTATCAGGTTGCCCTTGGTTTGGTGGAAACTGGATTTCGATTTGAAGCCCAGCATCTTTACAAACCAAATGGGGAAGGTCTCCAAACCACCAAACCAGGAAGCTGATACTACTTGGTGGTTTGGAGCCCGTTTCGTGGCGTTAGGGGGTGATAAACCTCATTTACCCCCTAAAAGAATCGGTTCAATTCCCCAAACCACCAACTAGGGATAAGGTGACGGTTGGGGACACCCCCCCTTCCAAGATTAAAAGTGCTTTCCAACCTGAAAACGAAACTGAAGCCAACCTGAAAGCCAAAAACAACACGGGGTGTCTTGTTGGAATTCTTGCCCTTTCAGGCGCCAGCTCGAAAGGACACTAACACCATGTTGTTTTTTGGTTTTTGCCTGGGCGGTTGGATCCCGTTAACCCTTGCAGCTGTTTTGATACGACTTTTTGATTGGAGGGCTTGATGCTTTTTGTCAACCGTGTACCGCGTAGGCGCCCCCTGCAAAATATCGAACCTCAAGCACAGAATGGATACAGTGTTGCCCAGCGGGGGCGTGGTTTGGCCGATTTGAGTTGGTGGAGTTCGGATTAGGATTGGGCAAAGCTTCATGGTGTTTCCTTTTTAGAACCCCAAAAAATGTTGGTTTTCCTTTTGCTTCTTCTTTCAAAGCCACCAACAAGACGGGGAACCAAGGCTCAACAAAAAGACGAACCATCCATTCAGCTTCGGGGTGCTTCAGGCCAGGAAACCAATAGCACACCAAGCTGTAGGGCTTCCATTTGGGGGTGTCAGTTTTTTTGAGTTGATACCCTTGTTGGGGTTGGTTTAAAGGAAAACCAAAGGGAAAGCCTCCATTTGAGGGAACGCCACTAAAAAGAGACACACCCATTTCAAGACCACACGCACAGCGACGTTGGAGAAACCTGGGCGACATGGGCCAGCTCCAGACTTGACCCCGTTCCAATGAAGTGCTCCAAGCTGGTTGGGAGGGAGCCGATGGAGCCGGACTCGGAGCTACCAATCAGAGCTCTGTGGGTATTTCACGCAATTCGGCTGTCACCATCGTCGGCAATCATTTGTCTTGTCCAAAGTTAAAGCCAACCTGTTATTCAACATTGTGGTTTCCATTATGTGGTCAATGTTTATGCATGGAACCCAAAGGTGATTGCCTTTTGTTTCTGGGTCCTTTGGGCAACTGAGATGCTGAGAGTTCAATCTGGATCCGCGGCACTCTTGATGATTGTTCTCTTGATTTTCTGTCGGCTCACCTTGGTAGTGATTGTAGCACCGGGTTTTCCTGCGTGGAGAACTTTTGCCACCGAACTTTTACCCTCGGGTCGAAAGGCGTTTTGCTATTATGTGAGCCATGGTCAAACTCCGAATACGTGGTCTATACCCCAGGAAAAGGGATCTTTTGACCGTGGCACCTGTGTCAAAACCAAGGCCTTTTTGTAGTGGACCACCGAAGAGCCTTTGGGATGGTTCTGACAGAGCCTTAGCATCACATTCTGACATGCACAGTTTGCCGTGTGTATGGTTCCTCATGATTGGTCGCAAGTCTGGAGCGCCTTGAACAAAACCTGAACACTTGTGCTGCGTGATCCCGGATCTCAACAAAGGATTGCTGGCAATTATGGATGCCACTTATCTGTAAATCAAAGCCCGCCCTGTCCTCAAATGAGAGCCGCCCGTAGCAAGAAACTTGTTGCAAATTCACCTGAGCGCCAAAACTCCCTATTAGCAACTAATGGGGATCATAATCACGCGCATGTTTGAATCTTCATGAGATATCACCATTTCTAGTACCAAAGGTCATGCGTGAATTTCGTAGCGCGGCGTTGGCTGCCTGCAGCCAGGCTCGGGCTACCAGCACGGACCTCCGCGCGTGGACCGGAACACTGCTGGCTGCTGCAGCAACTGAGTAATTCGTTGCGAAACCGCCCGGTGCTCTCCGGCGCAAGCAAAATGGATGGACCTGGCAAGCAGCTGACGACTCTTGTGGGTCAAGGACAACTAGGCTACCCTGACACAGCTCCATATTGCAGAAAGCCAACCAGACCCAGCACTTTTTATCCCACCATCTTACCATTTTGGGGATCCAACTCCTGCTAAAAAGACGAGCCAACCACAAGTTGGAACTGGGCCTGGCGTTGGAACTCCAATCAGTGCCTGCCAGCGACCATTTGGGGTTGGCGTGCACGTGAACTGGCCGCCACCGGAACGAGACGGATGGGAGAGCACCGGGCTTTTTCTGCCGGAGAAGTCGGGGCCCGGCAAATGGATCCGAGCGAGTCGATCCGCACGAATCCACCCGGTGCTTGGGGACAGACCTTATCCCCATCCGAAAACCGGGGCTCAAGCAGCGGGCTTCAAGGCTGGGTTTTTGTGTCTCGGATCCAGTGCCGGATAGGTAGCTACAGGCCTACAAGTTGTACAAGGCAGATTGCTCCAGCGCCTGAAGCGTGCTGAAGCGGGGGACAGTTCTCTGCCGAGTCGAGTGTTGCTTACAGCTAGGAGTCACACCGCAGATCATTGGTGGAGCCTGGGTGTGTCTTTGCTGGACGGGAAAACCTTCTTTGGACCATTACAGACAAACCCCTTAGACCCCTTTAAATTAAAAAAAACAAATGCAAAACGTGCAACAGTTGTTTGGACGCTTTGCTCATGGAAGGGCCACGTCGCTGAAGTTGCCGTGGTTTGCCAAAATGCCGAGGGGTGGACACAAACTGCACCCCATCCCGACCCATCGCGCCGGGGTTTCAGAAACGCGCAAACGAACGATTGGGCTGGCAAGAAGGCTCCCCTGGGTGCAACCTTTCTGTGCCCGGGCCACCATCAATTACTCGGAAAACGCACAGAGTGACCCACAGAAGTAAACATTGAAATACCATGTGAAATAATAAAGATATACGAATGAGTTCTGGCTCAAATCATTCAACATTATTACTTTCATGAGCCCAATTTTCTTTTTGAGGTGCCCAGGCAATCGGCATCCTGCAGGGGAGCCTTCGGTGCCCCAGGTCTACGGTGGAAGGTGCTTCGAACCTCCAAAGCGGACACGTGTCACTTGGAAACCAATGGGACCCTGTTCACTTTGCACAAAACCAAGTCCCAGATACCCATATCTCAGATCCTGGAGTCGCTTCACGAATCCACTGGAAGATCTGGTTTTAGCACTTGACCAAACCGAAACCGCTCGGAGCTCTTCCGGAAAGGGCGGGCACTCAGAGAGCAAGGCCCTTGCGGCCCAGCGCTCAGATTCGAGTGCGCTGGGATCCCGGGGTTTGTGCAGATTCCGAAGCCGTTCGACGGCTAAAGAGGAATTGCTGCGGAGGTTTGACTCGGAGAATCGGGCAATGTTCAAAGTCATAGCGTGCTAACAATGCGCAGTGACTGCCACACGTAGGGGTGTTCCTTGTGGTGTGAGCTTAAGCGATATCTGAACGGGGGTTCACCAATGCTTCTTTGTAGGATTGATGATCTCCTTGTAGAAAAGGGCAAGCAGGTGTTTCTAGGGCGAATGAAGGTCAATGAAGGTAGGCGTGGCATATATATATATATATGTATATACTATACAATATATATATATATACACATGTATTCACACATATATATATATATGTATATATACATATCATGACGATGATGATGGTGGTGATGGTGATGATTGTGATGGTGATGCTGATGCTGATGATCAATTATGATGATGGTGGTGATGGTGGTGGTGATGGTGACGATGATGATGATGATGATGATGATGATGATGATGATGATGATGATGATGATGATGATGATGATGATATTTCTGATGATGATGATGATGATGATCTTTCTCATGATGATCATCTTTCTGATGATGATGATGATGAGTGCTGGTTCTGGTGATAGTTTGATGACTACTCTGCTGATGCTGATGATGGTATGGTTGCATAAGTATATACCGAATATGTATGTCATGATGATGATGATGCTGATGATGATGATGATGATGATGATGATGATGATGATGATGATGATGATGATGATGATGTATTCTTACCTTTGGCTTCCTTGAGGGTACAATTTTCTGCAACACCACTTTTGCAAGTTCAGCATTTGCAGGCAGTCGCTTGCCAAGTCGAAACGGCACTTTTACCCGTCCGAACGCCCAAACCGCGACTTTTCCCAACCATCAGACAGCCTTCGAGGCAGTGTTTTGGGGCAAACGTCGGAGCAAATATGTCTTTTCGCCAAACGACAAAAATGTACCATTTGGAATCACAGGTTGTATATATATATGTAGATATATGTGTATATATATATATATATGTTCCAGTCTTCCTTGCCCCCCCCCCCCCCCAATGGTCATGCTCAGTCAAGAAGGTGGCGGTGCGACAGTGCAATGTCATATAAAAAGTATATGTTATGGTGGTACGGCTCTAGTCGTTCCAGCAGCAACTCACTCTTTCGCTCATCTGATGTGCAGCCGCGTGCGGAGCGTGCGTGCTATCCGTGTGCTGCGAGGACGTGCCCAGCCGAGCCACGTTCCAACTGCTTTCCAGTCGACTAGCATTGAGCCAGGAAAAAGCGTCGCGGAGCTTGCTGTCGCGAGAAGATCCTGCGATTTCAGAGTTTCTGCCAAGCTGCCTTTGATGATGGCCACGATTCCGCATTTGGCCAAGCTCAAACAGGCAAACCAGAGGTTTTTGCCTTGCCTTAGCCAATTTTTTGGCTTACCCTCACGCCGTGCAGCAAAGGAATCACACATCTTTGGTGCAAGTTGCAGGTACACCTGAGTGATCAGCCCAGGCTTCCCATGCATCCGAGCAGATTCGTTGGATTCCCGGATGCATGTCCCCATCCCCCCGGATGCACCTTTGCTATCTGGTGTGTCACACACACACACACACCCACGCATGCATGCACGCACCCACGCACCCACGCACCCACGCACCCACGCACCCACGCACCAACGCACGCTCGCACGCACGCGCCAAAATCGGCCATGTTTTTATCCACACTCATTTTCTTTCAAAATCATGAGCTTGGCTTCGCGCTTCCGTCCGTTCCGCGCCCTCAGGTTTGGGTTGTTTGGCATCAGGTCAACATGTCCAGTCTTCGGTCGAAGGGGATATGGGGACTTGAAGTTCTCATGAAAGCCCGACGCACCAATTTGTTTCGTTTCCGTTTGGGGAAGCAAGAAACTAGCGGTTGGCCCGAAAGCATCAAGTTTTGTGCTCGATGTGCAATCTGTCAAATACAAACAGCCATCAGCTACAGCAAGAGGAGCACTTCAATTTCGCTTGTTGCTCGCGACCTCCGGTAGGCCCCAGACCATGTCCTTCTCTTCCGTGCGCGCGAGAGTCCGAGCCCGATTGTCAAGCGCTCGATCCATCCAGAAATGGAGATGCGTCGCGTGCAATGTAAATGAATATGCTCGCAAGGCGACAGAGAGACAGACAGCCAGACAGACAGACAGCGAAGACTGCTGCAAAGCTCTGCGGGCTCTGTGTCGTGCTGTCATGGCACAAACTTTTGGGGTTAGGGCGCTCGCCTCATCGTGGCGGGGGGTCCAGTACTTCTCCAAGCGAGAAGCAAGCTAAGAGGCGTCCAAAGACAGACAGTCACTCGCAAGTGCTTGACCCACAGCAACTGCCTAACAACCTTTGCTTGTTTTACGGACACAGTGTTTTCCCGGGTGCCAAAAACTATCTCTGCTGAAGTCTCGCAGCGGGGAAAAGCAGTCGGCAGCTTTGGCACGACAGCGTCCGTGCGGGCAGCGCAGTCTCTCTCAGCTACAAACAGCGATTAGCTACACCAAGAGGAGCATTCAAAGGCGTTGCATTTCCTCTACCAAGAAACCCGCCGCTCGCTTGTTGCTCGCGACCTCCGGCTGAGCGCCGAGCAGGCTCCAGACCATGTCCTTCTCTTCCGTGAAAGTCCGAGCCACTTTTTCGGGCGCTCGAGCCATCCATTCCACATGCAAGCTCATCATGTCCGTGTCACAGTCCCCGACCAACCGCGGAGCGCCATCCGCCATGCTGAAGAGGTGGCAGCTCTAGATCGCCTCCACCGCGAAAGGCTTTCAATGGCTGGATAAGGAAACACCTCTTGGTGGCAAGTGACGAGGTGCTCTTCTCCTCGGATGTCCACCTCGTTGATGTCCGGCTCGTCAGCTTCTGCGCGTCACGACTAAGCTGAGCCACCGGCTTTTTGCTAAGGAAAGCAATGGTGACTGCTGGCTGCGCCTGGGTCAAGCACGCACGCACACTCACGCTAGGACAGTCACGCAAGGCAATGTTTTCTTTGGCCCCATCCAATGGATATCATCTAAGGACACGCTAATTGGCTCTGAGAGAACATCCGCAAATTGCCCATCTTCTCCCTCGGAAACAGTGTGGTCCCCTTCGTCAGGAGGTGGGTCAATCTCATCTTCCTCTCACAGCCTGGCATTGTTGGTGGCAGAAGTCGTGATGCTCTCTCCGACCTTGGGCGGAGGAACAGCGTAGGTAAACAGAGTGAATCCTGTCCACAAAAAAGGCTCTCCCACATGTCCTTCTGTAACCTTCCATGAGTCAATGCGGTGAAACGCTTCATGACGTCGGCCCACAGGAACCACCGATGTCACCCTCAGCGGTAAGAAGAAGTCCATGACCATACCTGGGGGCAGTGGCGCATCACTCGGGTGAAAGTACAAAGTCCTCGGTTCAAGATGCACCCGCAGAACTTTAACTTTGTTGCTGGCCACATCCATGCCACTGCCACCGACATGCCAGTGATCTCTCAAAGTCCCTTCCTTATTCGATCCACCCTTTTCACGAAACGTGAAGGTAATCTTGTGTCTGTTTGAGCAAAACAGCCATCATGGTGACTCTGTGCAATGACTCTCATGATGACTCTGTGCAATGACTCTCATGAGGACTCTGCGCAATGACTCTCGTA